CGGTAGGTAGTTGCTGGGAGGCTCTGTTACGATCTTTTCTCTCTCGCTCAACCAGCCATGCCCTCGTCACCGGAAACCAAACTCGCTGCCATTGATTGTTTATCTTGCTCCAGTAGTACCTCCATGATGTAGGGTCCTCCATGTGGTCAGCACTGGCGCCGGTGCTCATGTGTCCAGGTTGGCTGTAACTTGAGGGAGCTGAGTGGCTGCGTCGTTGTGGCTTATACAACTTACGGAACTACTAAACGGCAACAACAAAAGTGCAGCTCGGAGCGCAGGCGCTGCGGCATTTTCATTTGCACGCCATGTCGTTTTGGGTTACTGGTACTCCCCGACCCTCAAGGTCAGAATATCCGTCTGAGATACCTGCACACACGTCCATCTCTGAAGATCTTCATGAAATAGCAAATCACGCACGGGTAGGGGGCAGTAGGGGCTTGCTGCAGAGAGTCGCGGTCTAAGATTCAGAAGCGAGTCGGTTTTGGGAGCTGTGCTGTACAGGCCATGAGCCAGGTGCCTGTCGAGGGTAACCACTCGAGTTGCGTACCTCACCGGTAGGTTTGCGAGCAACAGGTTGTAGATGACATCGGGTAAGATCACCTTCTCAATGAGGGTGTGTTGGGGTCTGTAGTCGCGGATCACTGTCGTGTGGTGTGCCTGGGGGTGCTGCCTCGCAATAGTCTCCATGGCTCCTTGTACTGTTTGGTTGTTGTGTCGCGCCTGTGGAGTATGTTCCACTTGAACGGCCACCATCCTGACTCGAGGCTCCGTGTGGAATTTGAGGATGGCTTTGAGCAATGTGGCATTGCTTAATTAAGACTTGAACGGCAGCATCGTGAGAATCGCAGTCAGAGTAGTCGAAGGAGCTGGAGTCTGACGGTGGAGTTGTGGGCACTGTGGCGTCCATGATGGCTGTCAGCATCTTTGCTACGGTACTTACCAAATGGCTCCGGAGAACTACGGCAAGAGACGACCAGAAAAGAAAAGAAAAGAAAAGAGTGCATACCTTACCGGTGTTAACGTTGCAGGCTCACGTACGGTTTTTCGCCCAGCAGTTAGGTCTCTGGCGTGGGTAGAAGTTCGCGGACTTGTAGGTCCAGGTACTGCTGATAGGAGAGCTCGTGGTGGTACCAGTTGTGCATTCGCTTGTTGAACAGGTACATCTTGATGTCAATCGGTGTCTCTGGAGCATCCTTGTCGACGGCGCGACCTGCGCGTTTGTGCCATGGTGCGTTCGTTTTGATCTTGCACTCGGTGCTTGCAGCTCTGAGTACTTGACTGCAGCGGATCCACGTGGTCTTGTTTGTCTGCGCGAGGGACACGACCGCGCGGAGGTCAAAGGTCACTTCCAAGATGGTGTAGGCGATGATTTCTGGTGCCTGATCCACATTGCGCTGGATGGACATGTCGCAGGCCAGGCTGTGAGCGTCGGCGAGGGCCATCGATTTGACTCTGATGGAGTGATTGTACTCGGTGTTTGTGATGTCCTGACGATGGCATTGGTCTTCACGTCGTAGCCGACACGACCACACATGGACTTGTTGACCCATCTGTAGAACTTCCTTCAGGGGGAGGTGGTGTAGCTGCAATTTGTCGGGCAGGTCTTCGCGTAGATTGCGGAGTCGACGACGGGAAGCTCGCTGCTCCATCCATCTATATAAATCCATGTGGGGATGCTGTAGAGATGCAGAAGGGAATGTAGGGCACTCTACTGGCTTGAGCGGTGTAAGGAGAAGGTCACTGGGTTAGGTCATGTGCAACTGCAACGTTTTGTCGGGGTTCATCGCGGTCGACAATATGTAGCAGCGGCGTGGCAATACCAACCGGAAAGGATGGTGTATCTAATTACTAATTACAGAAATCAAAAGGGTTTGCTCGAAGAGGGGTGTACGCCGACAGGACCAGCCTGTCGTCTTTCCATGGGCACGTCGCGTGCTTGGTGAAGGGGTTGAACTCCAATCCCGGCATGCGAAGGGGGTGATTGCGTCCTTGATGTTGGCCTTTCGGGGATAGGTCTGGTCCGTGTTCTTCCTCAAGCCAGAGTTCTCCGCGGCGGAAGGACGATAGCGGCACGAGCACATTGATGGAGCCTGGCTGGTTGTACCTGTCCACGTGGGTGGCCATGTTGAGGTTGCGCAACAAGGACACGGCCGTGAAGTTCGAGTGTGTACAGGCCCGAACCATATGTGCAAGTAGAGCTGCTGTGCACGGGTACTTCTTGGTGTTACTCCGTATGCCAACTGTTCCTGCATGGTAGTAGGCGCCGACGGAAAAGGCCATGGCTGGAGCTCCACGCCTTGTAAGTGCGGAAGCACGTAGAAGTTCTGACGGTAGTGTTTGCGCCAGCCAAGAAAACACAGACATAGGAATGTATCCATTGTCCAGGTGCCGTCGGAAAACTTGTTCAACCTCCAGATGATTGTTGGCCGATATTTGCGATGGCGGATCGTCGAGTGGGAGACCAGAGGGAAGTCGAACTGGCTTCAGGTCCATGTCGGAGTCGGAGTCCACATCTGTTAGTTCAACATCTTGTGCCGTCTTGCGCTTCTGTGCTCGTGGCATGGCTTATGTTGGATATTTCGAACCAAAAGCTGAGGCAAGATTAAGATTTGGCGGGCAAAACAGGCAAACCAGGCAAAACAGGCAAACTAGGCAAACTACTGCAACCATTTCTTCCGTGAAGGGGCACCGTCTTCAATTGTCTGCCTTAGGTAAGGTTGTGGAAGCCGAGGTCACCGTAGAGGTCGTCCAGCGCTTGGAGTTGCTGTTGGGCCAGGGAAGGCGGGAATACCGTGCTTTCAATCATGTGTCTTCTGCTGTGATACCCACTGAG